TTTAAATGGGTTTCTGGGTCTCAAAGATTACTTCATAATATGTTTAATCGGAAGTTCCACTGTTTCATGACTTTGGCAGAGACTCAATGTCCTTCAAACTCTTCTTGCACATCATCACAGCCTTTGAGTTCGTGAGCAACATTCTCATTGCACCTTGTCAGTCTCCTTGCCATATATTATAGTATTAGATTTAAAATTATCAACACTGAAAAAATATACTTAAAGAAAAAATACCCATATATAATAAGACTAAATAAGATGACTAAATTTGACTGTGGATGCCGTATAATGAGTGAGTGTATCAATCTAAACAGTGCCGACTACAAAAAACCTAACTGGGGTCATTTGCTTAAAACTTTTGTAAATATTTGTGGAAAGTGTGGCAAGAAACAAATGAAATTCCAACAGATGGAAAACAAACTTCTGGAAATGGAAAAGCAACGAATGGAAATGTTTATGAACTATGAGGATGAAGAGGAAGACGAGTATGACGAAGAATATAAAGAACAATTCCGACAAATGACGGACGAAGAGATTGAAAGACATATCGGTTTGGAAAAAGTGAGAAATGTAATGGAAGGGTTTGACAGAGAACACGGTATAGATAAAATCCGAAGGATGATAGAAGAGATAAAGAATGAAGACAAAGAAGCAAAACCTGAAGAGGAAGAATATGAAAGTGATAGTAGCGAAACACAACGAGCCAAACGATTACAGTGGATAAGGGACAACAGAAAACCCAAAAACTGAAAGAGACCCCAAAAACTACTTAAAGAAAAATTACCTATATATAGTAAGAGGATGCTATTTACTTATAAAAACTGTGGATGTTGTAAGAAAGAAATGACTAAAGTAAAGGTTTTATTGAACAACATTTTCCCCGCTGGAATTTGTGATGAGATATGTAATTACAACCTTCACTGTTCTAAATGTAAAGAATTGAATGATAAGGAAAACAAATACATAAATCAAAAATATAGATACAAAGAACTAACAATACCAGAACTACAAATAAATTTCTTCAAAACACAAATGCCAACACCAATCTATTTGTCTAACACCTGTCGGGTGAATTTAAGAACATTCAGGAAGGAGATAGACAACGTGATGGATACTGATAGTTGTAAAGAACAGTTCAAAAAGAACAAACTGTTTCTGTCTGCTGTCAAATCATATGCAAAGAAGGAATGGAAATACACACACCACATCATGGAGGAATTCCACGACCTTGAAAAAATGAAACTTTTTAGACAAATGCGAGTTTGGTGGTTTCCTGATGGTGAAAGGTATTATATGTTTAGAAATAGGGAATACAAGATAAAAGACCTTTGGGAAGTCTTCTTGCGTGAGTATATGAAGCAACTTTTAAATGGTTATGAAAACTACTGTAATCTAACAGAAATAAAAGAGCACCTACAAAAAGTGATAAATACTTAAAGAAAAAATACCTATATATAGTAAGAGAAAATGAGTAGAGCAAAAATTGAGGTTATAGATACAGGGAATATTGGTATATATGCTGACTTTGGTAGTGATAGTGAGGACGATGATTGGGAAAGAGAACAAATAGAAAAAGAAGATGAAGAGATTAGAGACTTTGTAAAGTGCCATCCTATGCCTTCACCAGATGATGAGGAAGGAGAAAAGTTTTGGAAGAAAGTAATTGATAGGATGGAAGAAGCAGAAGGAGTAAATGGAATGATAATATATTCATTCGTAAGATTTGATATAATGAAAAAGATGTATGAAAACCTCACTGATAAAAAATCATCATTGATTGTGGTAAGGAACTTAACAGAGATGGAAAATTCAACGCTATGATTATCAACCTAACGCTTTTATCAATAGCAATGGATGAACTAAATGATACAAACAAACCTTGCTTAACACAAATGAGAGTGATTGAACACTGGTGGGATGGAATAGGAAAGTGAACAGCATAAATGATTAATTCATAATATCTTAAAACATATTATGAAGTAATCACCCATCCAAACACAAACAGAAAACCCCAACAGCCTAAACAAATCCTACCCCCATTCAATCCAAACATCAACAGTGAAAGTTAGGGGGAAATCTGACCCAGAAACCCCACCACATAAAACATCAAAGGGAAGGAAGAAACATTGAACAAGAACATTAAAAAAACATAACAGGCAAAACACCCTCAACAAAACCTACCCTCATTGAAACCAAACATTATTACAACAACCTCAACAAAACATTTAGCAAGATAATCAAAAAGAAACAGTCAAACATTTAGATTTACAATATTGAACAAACACATAACAACCTCCCAACCAACCTCCAACCTCTCTTGTCCTAGTTTCCCCCTTTCACCATTTTTTTCCCAGAAATCTCAGGTTTCCAAACCAATCTTCACAACGGCTGTGATAAAGGAGACACAGGTTTCAAACTAAACTGTTTGTAGATAGCCACCTGGAACCTGCACTAGGTTTGTTCATGGATCAGCAAAAACGGTAGATAAACACAAACAGGAGTCCTCTTCAATGGGGTTTGAGCCGAGTGACTTTGAGAACCACTCAAATTTAGAGACCTAGACTCACTGGAAGCAATATGAACTGGCTGAACGCACAGCAGCATGAATCAAAAGGGGGAGCCAAGTGAGAGGTCAAAGTTAGATGACATTCGCGGTACTCCGATGGATGTCGGATCGCTTGAAGAATTCATCGACGAGTCGTTTTCTCAGACTTCAGTGCGGAACAGCTAGAGCAAAGTTATATGTGAGTTGCACATCAAAATCCGAAATATCAGCCGCCTTGAAATGCTATGCTTTGTACTGGAGGAACCACTGCATCGTGTCTACCGCCATGGGACCTGAGTGCGCCACGCGATGCCAGCGCTGCCCATCTTTGCAAAATGCTATCTCTGTATATCTCTGTACTTTTCTGATGCCTCGCCATATTCAGGTATTATGTGAACATTTTGTCCTTTGTCGACAAGGAGATGCATATTTTCAGCGGCTGAGTATTTTGAGTTCAGCGGGTGCAAATCACGAAAGGTAGCGTCAGCTACCTGAGTTCTCCGTGCTTCAGCACAAGCATAGGGGGTATTGGGGGGCCAGCCCGGGCTAAACGTGGAATTCTAGCCGTTATGTATTAGATATCGAAAATGGTCATGGGTTCAATTCCCGCGGGTGACGCGGTCACGGTCCGCCACAGTAGAGGCACACTCTCCATGAGGGAGATGTCCCTGTAGTTCAGCATAATTGGTTTGCTTCAGCCTCAATAACAGTTGCTGCAAGGGGTCTTAAAAAGGGGTTTTAAATAAACCCCTTTTTGTGCATCATTTCACGCTGCACAAGACACCGTATCATGCAGTCATGCTCTGGATAAAATCATCTTAGACTGCGCAAAAACGTTTTTGGTGTATCATCTTAGGGGCGCAGCATTTTGACACCACTCCTCTCCCACTACACTACCTTTCGTCCGCCTCCGCCTGCTCTCAAGTGTTCCTTGTCGCTTCAGGATCAGTTGGAGCCTGGCTCCTCCATTCTCATGCACCACAAAAATCTTAGCAGCTTGGTGTTGAACATGAGCATGGCAGAAACAACACAAGTGGGCCTGGGTCGTAGGGGATTGGCTTTCTCGTGTCTTCTTTCCGGCCATATCGTCTCTTCTTGCACGAAGATTGACTTGTGAAACAAACCGTGCAAAGACTGGGATGAAGGAATCACAAGGGTGGCAATAGCAAGCTTACATGGATTCGAACCTTTCAAGTGACGCAAGTGAACAATGGCACATAATTGGCACCATGGCACTCAAGGTGTGATTGGTTTGCTGGTAGACGAAGTGAACCCTCTTGTGAGCGTGATGAAGGTTGACAAGGCGCAGTGTTTTCAAACACCACAGCTGCAGCTTTGACAGAGTTTCCACATGTTTCCACAATTTCTAAGCTTTTGCACTGCAGATGAAGCTGTAGAGTCGCTGTTGCATGTGCCAGGCCCCAACTGAATCCTATGCAGACATTGGAGGTCTTGAAGATCAGATCATGGAGATGAAGGAGGCTGGACCGCCTGCACATGGACAGGAAGATATTGTCAGATCATGTAGTAGAAACTAACAGAAGGATTAGAATTAATGAGTCGGTTAGGGTGCAAACAGCCTCTCGCACGTCTGAGGCTGTGGAATTGCCTTTGACTCATCCGGAACTGTACGAGGAATGGGGATGATCATGCAGAATCGGAACAATAGAAAACAACCAACAACAATCATTGGTGAAATCAAGTCAAAGCAGTTGTGTCATCTTGTGTCATGACTCGCAACAAGCTCCAAGTTCTAGTGTAATTGGATTTGCGGCCATTGCTGCCAGGATGTTGGCATTAAGCCACCCAAGGGTGTGCCTTGATTCAACTATATAGCAAGGTACAGATGTTTAACTTTCTGCAGTTCTGTCGGTCCTGGAATTCAAGTCTCACAAAGACGACTGCAGACAAAGATCATACAATGGAGCGCAATTGAGAGTTGGGGTGACATTTGTTTTTGTTGACTTAGCTGTATTAAAGGCATTGTAAAGGGTATCCCGGGGAGGGATTTCAGAGGAACATATCCTACAAGTAGGGAAGCCTTGCACTTTGGAATCCACTGACGAGGACGCTTCTACTATTCCCACGATAAAAAGGAAAGGCTTGATAGAACGGCTAAAGGTGTCCGAAGAACCAGCATTTTATCCCGAGCAGATGTTTGGTTCCGACGCAGTGATAATGGCGAAACTTAACAAGAACAGACCTCAAAAAGTCATCCACTTTTTGACTTACCTTTCTGAATCCTCCTTCCTGAGAAGGATGGGCAACGTGTTTCCCCCTTTTCCTGCCCTGTTTTCCTCTTCGCTAACAACTCTGGTTGCAACTCTCGTACTCTCAGATTGTTGTGCACTCCCCGTACCCCAATATATTATACTGTATTGTGTTCTTGGGCCTTTAAGTTGTCTGTTCTCAAAGGGCAAGTTGCTGTGGAGATAGTGCCTCTTCATGCCATGTCATCTAAATTTTGCATTTTCACTCTTCGAACGCGCCATAAGCATCTGCACGCTGTAGTATGTCTCAACTTTCTTGCCGTAGCCCACCTTCTAATTTCATTGTTCTTGACCAGGTTCTCTAAATGCACATGAAACATCATGAAACTCGAATTGTAGGCTTTTCACTTGATCCAAAGAACCGGGGCCATGCTGTAAATGCACAACTGTTCATTGAATCCGTTGAATCCAGTGTTTTGTTTACCGTGACATACCGTGACAAATGGCTGTGTTTCTGCTTGAAGGTTCCCTGCAGTGCCTTAGCCTGTGCCAAGGTCATCCTGTATGGAGTGCCTGGCACTGGAAAAACTCTCCTGGCTAAGGCATCGGAATCTGCAAAGTCGATTTCAAATCTGCAAGGCTTTCTGGTCCAATGTCCTCATGTCTTCTAGCTTGATTTCAAACATTTCAAACATTTCAAGCGCTTCAAGTGCGGTGCTGTCACTGAGGCCGTCGCAAGTGAGACTTCTGCAACCTTTCTCCGAGTTGTCACGACCTCAGGGCATCGGGCACTGTGCATCACTTTGAATCACTTTGAATCACTTTGAATCACTTTGAATTTGTGTTTGATTCTTTTGATTCTTTTGATTCTTTTGATGATTGACCTCTGAGGTCGGAAGTGAATTGATCCAAAAATATCTGGGAGAAGGGCCCAAGCTGGTGCCTGCTGTGGCTAGAGATTTGCTGTGCATTTGATCGATTTGGACATGAAATGACATGGAATAAACGTGTGAAACTGCGTGATTCTTGTAGGTGCGAGAAATGTTCCGAGTCGCACAAGAACACGCTCCATCCATCATTTTCATCGATGAGATCGATGCAGTTGCCACAAAGAGGTTCGCTTCTTCAGTCGTGTCCCGACAAGCATGCTCGCTGCTTGGGGGGAAAGCAACGTCCAACATTCATTGGTTTTGAACTTTCTGAACAGGTATGACACAACCAGTGGTGGCGAGAAAGAGATTCAGCGTACAATGTGACTTGGACATGAATATAGCAAAGTGTCGATGGCAAAATCCTGCCCCTCCAACGCCCAGACCTGAAAACTCCTTTGCTCGGGGCAGTGCCTTTCCTAGGCAGTTTCAGTAGCTTCAAAGCTTCAGTTTCTGCCAGACTAGTAAAGGTATGACTGTTCGTGTGGTTGGCGTTTTCACGACTGATCACAGGGAGGTCAAGATGCTTCATGCAAACAATTGCACGCATGGCTATCTCAACTTTCCATGTAAAGCCAGGGAAGGCCAGCCCGGGTTTGACAACTGACCAATTGAGAGGGAATTGAAAAGCAGGAAAGCAGGCGAGATAGGAAAGCAGGAAAGCAGGAAAGCAGGAACATCAGCAAGACACAACGAAAAATCGAGAAACCAGAGAAAGAAGAAGAGAAGGAAACCCAGAAACCATGAGAGGAAAAAGACAGGCAACAGTGCAAGAGTTCGCGGACAAGCAGTGTCAGTAAAGAGTTTTCCAAGTAAGCAAAGCAGCCTTGCCTTCACCTGAAAAGAACTGGCCGGATGTGACGATATTTGGCACAGTAATGCAAGGAAATCTTTCGGTGTCATGCGGACCCACTTTGAACAAACATGTCCATGTTGTTGTTCGCAGAGATGCACCAGTAAAACACTGCACAGAGCCGTGGGCAGGAACTTCACGTACCTCACTGTTCACACTAATTAATCCTGCGAGCAAAACAATCCGCTGATGGAGTGGGTGTGTGGCTTGTGTGCAACATTCCGTAATCTGTGAATTCAAAGTCAGTGGAATTGCAATACAATACAACACCATATCTACAACACCATACCATTGTGTCCATATTGTTGTCATAAAAATGACCTAAAACCATGGAAAAAGCAATAAACATTCTTACAAACCAATAAACAATGGCAATCGAATTTAACATTTCCTAAAGTTGCTTAAAAGCTCAGGTTGGAGTTGCTGAATCAGCTGGACGGCTTTGACGATCGAGGAGATGTTAAGGTTCGGCACAATGAAAACTTGAAAAGTGAAGTGCACTGCGCCCACTGCGCCCACTGCGGCCACTGCGGCCACTGCGGCCACTGCGGCCACTGCACCCGCTGCACCCACTACACCTGCTGCGCTTGTTCATTTCGTTCAGTTCGCAGCTCTTGACAAAGTCTGTTGCAGGTGATCATGGCAACAAACCGCATAGAGTCGCTGGATCCTGCCATGATCCGTCCAGGTGCTTGTTGCAGAATGGCTTTGCATGGACTTTCAATTACTCCCACATCTCTCACACTCACTCTTGACTTCGACTTATATGGAATGTGCGTAGACCGGTAGAAACACTTATATATACACTTATATAGAGGAACCGTGCTGTGTGTTGCGTCGCAGAAGCTCAGGCCGCATTGATCGTAAGATTGAGTTTCCGCTTCCGGACGAAAAGACGAAGCGGCGCATCTTCCAGATCCATACGTGGCAGACTGAGTCTCACCTTTGTATATATATATATATCATATATATATATATTTCATTATATACGAATATTTTATAAGTAGCGTAATATACGCCGTAGATTTTCAGTGTTTTCCAGTTCAAAGGATGGTTCCCTTTGTTGTCTCACAACCGCTTTGCTTTGCCCAATGTTACCATGTCACAGGGGAAAAATGACCTTGGCGGACGATGTTAACCTGGAGGAGTTTGTCGTTGCCAAGGAGCCTACCAGCCAACACACTGTGTTGTTCATTAAGACTGAAACGTTTGGCATCGTTTCGCCAAATGGAAATTGCAGGATGATCTAAGTGGTGCTGATATCAAGGCACGCTGTGCCTACTTGATGGCTGTATGAAATTGGTCTTGCGATCAACTCCAGAGCTCTGGACTCGCTGGAGGCGATTTGCACCGAAGCAGGAATGCTTGCGCTCCGCGAGCGACGAATGAAGGTGACGCAGGCTGTACCACAGAAGCTGCAGAACCGCAGAAACCGCAGAAACCGCAGAAACCACTGATTATTTGCTCCTGTGCTACATGAAAAGCATCTCGACAGCTGATTCAATGATGCCAGTCACGATGCATGAGATGCTGCATTTGTCCAGGCTGACATGAGAAAAGCCAAGGAAAAGGCCCTCTACAAAAAGAAAGGATCCTATCCTGAAGGAATGTATTTGTAGAGTGTGCTGAACTGTGCTAAAGTGCAAGGAGCACAGCAATTCGAGCTGGCAATGACACAGATAATATTCATGTAGACAAAACATGTAGACAAAACCTAGAGTGGCACAACGCCCAAGCTAGTGGACACAAGAAACGCTGCGAGCCATTGACGAAACAGTTTGGCGAATAACTATGAATAACTCATACCTGCACAATGCGTAAGCTCAAAACAAAAACAAGTCAAAATAGTCAAAAACTGTTGTAGACAGTGGTGCAATTCTACTGCCAAGAATATCTTGGAATTCTGAGAATCAAAATGAGCAGCGTAGCGACCAGAAGGCTCGCAACTGGTGACTGGCGGACACGAACCTGTTGTGTATACATATGTTCAGAAGCATATTGATTTCACCAGTTGGCCAAAGCTTCAAGCTGCTGTTGGCAAGCCACAGATGCAGCTGCAGTTGGAGTACAGGACCCGTGGACCTGTTGTGCCAAAAAGCAACGATGGGCATCCGCAGCACTGAACTGATTTCCAACACGCACCACCCATGACTCAGACTTGTTCTGAAATTCCAGTGCAGGGGCTGTGCAGTCTGCGTGGGTTCAAGTTTCATGAAAGCATGGTTTTAACAAGCTCACGAAATACCGGATCGGAGTTTTATATCCAAGAGCTTTCAAAACCATAAAAGCAAGAATGAGATGGTAGAGAAAGGTACAAATCACGCGCTCAATGCTGCAATCATGAGACACGAGTCACTCTTGTGATGGCTTCAATGGCTTCTTGAGAGCCTTCGACGACCATGGCAATCGAGGCATTGACCCGAGTGCTCTCGAATGTTTTCATGTTCTTGCACACATCGTTTGCGATTGCCTTTCAGGATTTTCCCAGACACTTTGCGTCAGTTGCGCCATGCTGAGCGTTTGCATCTTTGCAGCTTGAGGATGAAATCCAGAGACTAGTAAGTGAAGCTTGTCAAAAAGTAGTCGAAGAGCAGGCGCAGGGCTTGGGAGTGGGTCTTTCAGTCTGCTGTCACAACATTTTCAATGCTACGGGCTATGTCACACTTTCAGGAAGTGAAGTTCAAGGAACTTCAAGATAAGTTTCAGGACGGGCCGGATATAGAATTTCATAGAATTTCGAAGCTGGAGAGTCTCGAGATTCGGGGCCTCAATGAAGCCGATTCTGCAGGAAGTGCTCGACGGCTACAACACTCAGAAGGCTGAGTCCAAGGACTTGAAGGATGAAATTGCCAGGTGCGGTGCGTCTCGTAACGGTCCTAACGGTCCTAACGGTCGTAAGGGTCGTAAGGGTTGTCACGTCTCAGTTTTTGTCGTTTTGGCGCTGATCTTCAAGCTGACTTTTAATTGGTGCTCGAATGTGCTCAATGGATTATGAATCGATAATGAGATGAACTGAAAGCTCCCGAGATGTTTGAAACATATTGAAACATCATATTGTTTTGCTTGCGCTCCTTTTCCAGATCTTTTCACCTTGGCAGCAGCTTTCCCCGGCCAGTAACAAGTCTGCAACGGACACCCTGGTGGATGAGATCCGTCAAGAGCTTCAAACTGCGACTTCTGAATTGAAGGCAGGGGAGCGCTCATGTCTTGCGCGCTGAAGCTGTTGTGCATTTCAAACCGCCATGATTTGTGGGACGGCACACATGGGCACACTGACAACGTCACGTGGCGTGTGTTGTGTTGATGGGTTCAGGAGAGACTTGAGCGACTCCAAGATGATCCAGATGGCGAAGGGGGCATCAAGCAACTTCGAACAGAGGTGTCTCGCTCTGTTTGCAATTAAATTCGGCATACGGTCTCTGGCCATTCAATTTCATGGGATCCGACCCAAACCCAGGTCTCATCTAGTGAGTATAGAGGCCCCTTCAATTTGGATTGGGTACTGGTCTGGTTTGATTGAGCTTGTATTTGAGAATGCTGTGTTTAATCCTCCAGGTGACAACTTTTTCAGAGGACGGAGAAGCATCCGACTGGTGGTTGCTGCCTTGTGGTCAGTGTTCTTTCAATTCTGTTTGATTTGTTTTCAGTTCTGTCCTTGCCAACCCTCAAGCACCATGAGCATTTCTGACACTTTAATTTTGGTGACCTCGCTGCTCCATCTCATGTTTCTCCAACTGCGAAGGAGATCAACAAGTATAGAAATGAGATGGAAGACCACGGTCAGAAACCCAGAGTGTCCCAGCTTGGCATCACTTTGCCCGTTTTGGCATCAGTTCAGCACAGTCGACAGGAAGGAAAACAAAATCCTGCAAGAGTGACACGGACGACATGAGAATCAAGATGGCTGAGTGCATGAAGTCCGAAGCTTGGAAAGACGCACAACTCCTTTGGACTTCGTTTTTTTCTTTTTTCTGGCATTCGACAGCTGTTGAAAACACATTCTGCAGATGCCCAAGAGCACTTGTCATGCGACCTTGCATGGCTTGGAAGGAAATGCGAAGACACTACAAATGCAGGAAATTCCGCTGAGGTTCGCTTGAATCTGTTTGAACAGATTGTTATGGATTTTTGAGCACCTCAGAGCAAGAGCATACAGAGGTCAAAAACTTCAACTTCTAAATGTGGTTTTCAAGGTCAGGCTCAAAGAGATTGAAGACACATGTCAGCAAGTCCAAGAAAGACAGAAGGCATGGCGCTTTGCTCGATATCTTCATTAATATTGAACAACATTGAGAATTTTTGCAAATTGCTAGAGAGCCTGATAGAGGTGGTGGAAGATTCAGTGGCCGGCAAGTACAGTGAGCTGTGGAAGGAGATCTTGTGAACAAGCAGACATAAAGGAAGAGCCACACGTAGAGTCTTCACAAAATGGTTAAGAAGGTCAGATGCTGATTTGTTGATATTTTGTGAACATAATTTCAATATCATACATGCTGCTTGTTTCTAGAAACCAGCAGCAACATTTGCCAGCATTTGCTGAGCCAAGCATCTTTGGTTTTCACTCTGCAATGCTTGAGAGGATGTCCTGCATGCTTTGGATAAGATGAAAAACGAGATGCTGGAGCTTGTACAGGAGGCTAGGGAGCTCTGAGTGGAAGCATCATTTTCCTCAAATCTTCTCCATTCTCCAGTTTTCAAAGCCCTTCATGCGGCCATGTATTGTCGATGCTTAGCTTTCCTAGATATGTAATCATTCATATTCATGTTCATATTATATACAATACGTATATACGTATACATATATATAAGATGTAAACAAATATATGTCTATATAATATTCATATATGTGATCCACGTGATTTTCTTCCCTCTGGCGATGAAAAATGCAGAGCCGACTGCACAGGACACGGGAACGAAGCCCGGATCCCAGCTTTGGGCAGCTACAAATCTATTCAAATGGACCATGAGCTTCCCATACGTGATTCTGTCTGTCAAGCAAACCTTGGACAGCTTTTAATGCATTCTCCCAACTTTGTTGTTCGGTTTTTAGAAACCAAGCAAGTTGTGAATGTTACTTAATCATTTGTCACTCAACCCATTTGTGCCAGGTTTGACATTCAGTCCCAGGTCAAGTACGTCTCCAAATTAATTTCGCCAGCCTGCCAATTTGCTGATGGAAAGGAGACAGAAACGTTTGCTCTGCGAGTTCATGTTCAAGCTTTGAAGCGCAATGTGACGCTCTTCCACCTGTGCAGTGTTGAAGTGTCAGGTCTGTCCACAATGACCGGCGGAAACTTGTTGGGACACCAAGCTACAACTGTTCTTACAGTACTTGTACCGATTGTGAAGGAATGACAGCCAGGACTGAGCTTCATTGCATTGTACAAATACGCAGCCATATAAAACCTGGCAGCATCATAGACAGCAGCGACCCAAAAAAAAATGACCGTGTTTATAACTCTAACCGTTTTTGCTGAAACAATGTACGGGTTCACTAGTTCATTATATATTTATGACAACAGCCCAGTTTTTCCCTTTCTTCTTGCAAATCAATCCATTCTTTTCGCTCGCTCCCGGTTGAGTTTTTGTGCCAAGCCCTGGATTTGCTGGGGAGACAGTCAACGATTCAATGGATGAGCTGTTAGCCGCTGCTGAGGCAGTGACCAAGCAATTTCTCACCTTTTGGCAGCACTATACTTGGACAGAGGTTCACAGGCTGGGCAATGCAAAGGCATTGGTAGCATTGGTAGCTCCGGCAAAACATATAACATCATATAACTCATATAACTCATATAACTTTAATATAACTTTAATATAACTTTAATATAACTTTAACATAACTTTAATATAACTTTAATATAACTTTAATATAACTTTAATATAATTTTAATATAACTTTAATATAACTTTAATATAACTTTAATATAACTTTAATATAACTTTAATATAACTTTAATATAACTTTAATATAACTTTAATATAACTTTTATATAACTTTAATATAACTTTTATATAACTTTAATATAACTTTTATATAACTTTTATATAACTTTTATATAACTTTTATATAACTTTATATAACTTTATATAACTTTAATATAACTTTAATATAACTTTAATATAACTTTAATATAACTTTAATATAACTTTAATATAACTTTAATATAACTTTAATATAACTTTAATATAACTTAATATAACTCTAATATAACTTAATATAACTCTAATATAACTTTAATATAACTTAATATAACTCTAATATAACTTTAATATAACTTTAATATAACTTTAATATAACTTTAATATAACTTTAATATAACTTTAATATAACTTTAATATAACTTTAATATAACTTTAATATAACTTTAATATAACTTTAATATAACTTTAATATAACTTTAATATAACTTTAATATAACTTCAATATAACTTTAATATAACTTTAATATAACTTTAATATACTTTAATTTAATAAACTTTAATATATACTTTAATATAACTTTAATATAACTTTACTATAACTTTAACTTTAATATAACTTTATATAACTTTAACTTTAATATAACTTTAATATAACTTTAATATAACTTTAATATATTTATATAACTTTAATATAACTTAATATACTTTAATAACTTTAATATAACTTTTAAATAACTTAACTTTAATAACTTTAATATAACTTTAATAGACTTTAATATACCTTTAATATCACTTTATATAACTTCAATATAACTTCAATAAACTTTTAATATAACTTTAAATATAACTTTAATATAACTTTACTATAACTTTAATAATACCTTTAATATAACTTTAATATCTTTAATATAACTTTAATATAACTTTAATATACTTTAATATAACTTTAATATAACTTTTATTAACTTTAATATAACTTTATAACTTTATATAACTTTTATATAACTTTTATATAACTTTTATATAACTTTTATACTATAACTTTAATCTACTTTAATATAACTTTTAATATAACTTTTAAATATAACTTTAATAACTTTAATATAACCTTAATATTAACTTTTAATATAAAACTTTAATATAACTTTAATAACTTTAATATAACTTTAATATAATTTAATATAACTTTAATATAATAACTTTAATATAACTTAATATAACTTAATATAACTTAATATAACTTTAAACTAACTTTAATATATATAACTTTATATATACTTTAATATAAAACTCTTATAACTCTTTTTTAATATAACTTTAATATAACTTTAATATAACTTTAATATAACTTTAATATAACTTTAATATAACTTTAATATAACTTTAATATAACTTTAATATAACTTTAATATAACTTCAATATAACTTCAATATAACTTTAATATAACTTTAATATAACTTTAATATAACTTTAATATAACTTTAATATAACTTTAATATAACTTTAATATAACTTTAATATAACTTTAATATAACTCTTATAACTAATATAACTCTAATATAACTCTAATATAACTTAATATAACTCTAATATAACTCTTAAACTCTAATATAACTCTAATATAACTTTAATATAACTTTAATATAACTTTAATATAACTTTAATATAACTTTAATATAACTTTAATATAACTTTAATATAACTTTAATAACTTCAATATAACTTCAATATAACTTCAATATAACTTCAATAATATAACTTTAATATAACTTTAATATAACTTTAATATAACTTTAATATAACTTTAATATAACTTTAATATAACTTTATATAACTTTAATATAACTTTAATATAACTTTTATATAACTTTATATAACTTTTATATAACTTTATATAACTTTAATATAACTTTAATATAACTTTAATATAACTTTAATATAACTTTAATATAACTTTAATATAACTTTAATATAACTTTAATATAACTTTAATATAACTTTAATATAACTTAATATAACTATAACTTAATATAACTAATAAACTTTAAACTAATAAACTCTAATATAACTCTAATAAACTCTAATATAACTCTAATATAACTTTAATATAACTTTAATATAACTTTAATATAACTTTAATATAACTTTAATATAACTTTAATATAACTTTAATATAACTTTAATATAACTTTAATATAACTTTAATATAACTTTAATATAACTTTAATATAACTTTAATATAACTTTAATATAACTTTAATATAACTTTAATATAACTTTAATATAACTTTAATATAACTTTAATATAACTTTAATATAACTTTAATATAACTTTAATATAACTTTAATATAACTTTAATATAACTTTAATATAACTTTAATATAACTTTAATATAACTTTAATATACTTTGACATTTTGAACTCCTGCCTCGATTCTCCAGTCCCGTGACCTGCAGGAAGATTGGTCTCAATATCATCGCAGGCTTTTTCAGGCGGCGGACACACCAGGCACGAGCAACGCTCTGAACGGGATCACAGTGACGAAAAAGTTCATTCGTTGGGACATGATAACAATTCCTTACTCTACTGACACTTCTTGTTTGTAGCAGACCTTGATATCTCTTCCTTTCTTATGCTGGCGCATCGCAGCACCATGCACAGCAGCGCGGCAGGTGTTGCATCGATGGGTTCACCATACCTCCATCGAAAACTTGAAAGCAGACTTGCGAACGGTTCGAGACTTGGAGTGCCTTGATTCCTTCCTTCAAAATTTCTGCCGCTTGAATGGTCGATGCAGGAATACTCCAAAATGATTCCTGATTTGCCAAAGGAAATCGAGGCCATATGGTAAATCAGGGAGGGCTGCTCTTTGCTTCTTGTTTGATGTGCTCACGGTGCTCACAACTTTACAATTGCAGGCATCAGGACTGCCAGACAAATGCTTACAACTCGAAGGTGAACTAGAGACCTCGAGGCAATGAGCAGCTTCAAGCTGCTTCAACTGTTGGTTGTGAACTGCGTGCCGTTTATTGATTGTGCTCTTGCCCTGTCGCATCCATGCTTGGAAAGGAAAGACTTGGGCGAAATGAAAGTTAGCGTCGAAGATTACGGGTCATGCTGCCTTCTATTAGGGCACGTACCCAAATCCATGCTCCCTTGACCAGCGAACTGATGCTGTTTATGCCAGGACACGCATTGACAGAAGTGAAGCGCGAGCAAATGCTGAAGACAGCCGCGCTGAAGAACTATCACTGCGGCTGCAAGAGGCAGGAGGAAATTGGAACATTGTAAAGTTACAACTGCTTCATGTTTGTACATATCATACCTAAATATAATACATGATGAGGACCAAAGACACGTGCTTGGCACACTTATGTAACGATATGCGTGTATATAATTACATATTATACATATTATACATATTATACATATATATATATATTATTCTCTATATACAGTATAAGATCGCTACCATGTTTCTCCTGATTTCTCCTTTGCCATGTTCAAACATCAGAACGAGCAATATGCAGAGCTCCAGACGAAGCTCTTGACCAGCGGATGCTGCAGGTTGCAGAGGAATTGCAAGCCTTTAAGCCGCAAACCCATGAAACAATGAGTCAGGCGCGGATAGTTTGGATAGTGCTACTGCAAGTTGGAAATGCAAGGGCACGATATGGCATGATTGAGATGTGCTTACAATAACATTCAATAACCAGCATTCTTGTTGTATGTAATCTTGATGTCGTCTATTGCTGTATCTCTCTCTAGCACTGTGCCAGCTTGGAGCGCGCATTGAAGACACACAGCTTTGGAACAAGAAACTGGAGGAGGTACGCACAGGGCACCCAGGTATTGCAAGCAGATGGATATGGAACCGTGCTGGATCAGTCCGCTGATGTCTGTGGAATCTGTGAATCCTTAAATTTCCGAAGCAAAACTGAGGATGGCAGGTCTATTCCCAGTGCTGTGTCAGAAACGGTGTAGTATGTTAGGACCAAAGACATTTAGCCAAGATGGAGGAGGCTCTGCTCTCAGCAAATCCCAAATGCATTAACCAATTGCGCTGCACTGACCGAGTTGAAGTGAACTAGACGTGTTTACAGTGCAAGGTGAAAGAAGTTCAAGCTGACATTGCTCGGTTTTGGTACGCCTCAAACAGCTTGCAGCCGGAATGTCACGATTTCTCACGCTGGTAGGAAGCAGACAGTCTTTGGTGTTTCTGTTTCTCATTGAGATTGAGGTCTTTGCGACTTTGACATGCCATGACGATGAAATGATGACAGTAGAGACGATACAATCAGCAACGAATTTATACCGTATACTGATGTATACTGATGTATACTGTATAGTGATTTGTGATTTGTTGAAGTGTTGTGTCCACTTTGGTCAGGCTTTGCATCAAAACTTTGGACACTGCCAAAGCCAACAAGACGGACATTCCTGGGTTCCCCGAATCGGTCCAGGGTTACTCCGGTTACTCATGCCCTCTGTACCATTCTGTACCCTTGGGCGAAGGACGTGGACTCTTTTGCCTTGGAGACAAGAAATATGCACAAGCAAAACACTCAGTTCGGTGTGCAGCGGGTGTTGAGCAGTGAAGATACATGAAGTAGGCTTTATGACAGTTTATGTCATGCTATGTCTGGCAGGCAGTCCTCCCGGCACATTCAAGACTTGGAAGAGAAAGTTTCGGACAAAGTGCAAGAGGAAACCACGATACTGCCACTGACCATCTGGGGATTAGTTTTAAGAACAAACTTCAATAGATTTCAATAGTATGTTGTTTGGGTATACCGAAAATGTTTGGAGGAGACCATCCGAATGCAAGAGAAGTGTTCAGAGCTCGATGGCAAGGCTGCGGAAATGGAAGTGACAAGGAAATCAAGTTTCTAAAGTCAAGCAAGCTATGATTGCGGCAGATGGGTCCTAGTTTTGACATGTTTTGACCACAGGGATCATGCTCCTTCCAACAACAATCAAAGCACGTGTATGACTCTTATATATCTTATAAGTGAAAACGCTTGCAAAAGTGCAGAACAAGTTGTGCGTGTAGAGGTAGATGAAAGAGCGAAGCAGTCTGTTGACTCAGCAAGCAGATTCCTGGACAAGTGGAGCAAACTGCGGGTCATGAAAGCTGGGTCCATTTCTGTTTTGTATTATGTTGTTTTTTCTCAGTTTTCTCTGCCAAGGCTTGAACAGATGAGTGCTCACATGGACAATCAGTGGCAACGACTTGCTGCCCTTGTGGAGAAGCTGGCGCTGCACTTGGAAGTGCATGGAAGTGCGTTGGGTAATGTGAGTGGGAAATTGCATGAAATTGCTAGGGCTTTTGATGCGCAAACCTACAAAGATACACACATTGACTACGCCATCCACCCCAGCTATCCGTCCAGCTATATCCAGCCAGCCAGACATTACAATTTCAGAGTTTTCTGCACGGATTGTTCCTTCGTTTGCAGCAAAGTTCTTGCTCTAAGGCAAATGAGCAGCAGATGCTTGTGACTCAGGCTGCGCCAAGGCCAGACAACAATAAGGATTCTATGTGCGCTTTCGGATTTTGCTCCATTTACAGACAGGACAACCAGAAATTCGAGACCTGCGAGTGCACAAAGGCCATGGAGAAATTGCGAAGTAGTGAAGTCTAACCAAGTCTAGATAGGCAAGACAGTGTGTTCAGGTTGCCGCGCAATGGATCGGAGAGGAAAGTGTTGGGGCAGCTAGCTTTGCTGAGCATTGGAGAAGAAGACATATTTTGCAACGCAAGTGCAGCAGATGACTGGCGACTGGATGAAGGGCGGTGAAGGTGTGTTGTCTCCGTGAGGACTCTGGATGTGTCAAGCAATATACCAGTTGCGACAGTGAACGCGTTGTCACCGATTGACAGCTCGCTGAGAGAGTGCTCGCCTGAGGAAGTAAGACATTCTACACGACTGTCGAAGCGTTGACTGAGAAAACTTATACACTCTTATAATCTCTTATATATACATTTTCCCTAACTTTCCTCGAATGATCATCACCATTCCCAGGAGAGAAAGACTAGAACCGTCTGTGAATGGCATTCTGGGGCCGAAAAGCCGCGTCTGCAGCTCAAATGTGGACCAAGCATTTGTGCTTCATACTCGACCTTTGTATGGACTTTATCGAGACTCCTTTGCGTGCCGATATTAAGGCGGAGGTCGTGAAGTCCCCAGGACAGGAGCCTTTCAAACAGCGGTCGTTACATCATTTGAATCTTTTTTGATCTTTTTTGTAAGTTGAGTTTTGACACTGCAAGCAATACCGCAATTGACTCCTGTTTTTGTCCGAGCCATGGTAAGGTGACCCAACCCGGACTGCCAAGGCATGCAGAGTGTCTAAGTCAAAGAGCTAAACCAAATTCATCCAGAATCATCCAGACAGTTTCCCGAAGCATCCAGATTCTCAATGGAATTGGTTTTTTAGACATCGCCGTGCCAGGCGAATGCATGACTCTCGCTAACAGGAGGCTTGTCATGAGAAAGATGGGTCTATCTTGGCCTATCTGCTTCTTTTGGTTACGAGTGCACATGACATTTACATACAGTCACAATCTTTTTTGCCGCTGCGAAATGCAGGTGACCCAAAGTGAGCTTTCTGAAATGCTTTGTGATTCTAGTCTGTCCGAGAACTCGGACTGAATTTGAGCTTTGACCGCTTCTGCTCTGGTGCCAGAGTTTTTTTTCTTTTTGAAACAAATCCTAGTGACCCACAGATACCCACAGGCTTTTGAGCATGGAGCCCCGAGCGCCCCGAGCCATCTCCATGGTAGCAAGAAGCTACATATGGCTATGGGCTACGGGCCGCTACGGGTGAATGTTTGATTTCTGCATCTGAATTTGTCCTCAGGAAAAGACTGGAGACACTGCATGCGATCATGACGTTACCAATGTACATGTGCGTCAGACCTACACAAAAATATGGCCAAATGCATTGCATCTCAACGAATTCAATGTGGGGCATTTCAACGAGCGTGCAGAAGTCACATTCACAACTAGACTCAGCTGACAAAAGGAAGAACTACCCATGGCGTTGGCTCAAGTTTGAGACTGCGGGACGTCGGTGGTGCCTCTGTGGTGTGCTTCCTGGACCCCTTGCATGCTTCACATCACGTTTGTTACATCATTCACTTTAGCAGCTTACTGACCTTGAATTTTCACTGCTAGGAACGGTGAACAAGCTGGCAGGATCATGGACGTGAACAGGTGTCTTGGCTCCCGAAAGAGTAGAATTGCGCAAGAATCAGTCATGTTGATCCATGTTGATGCAAGCGTGTGGAACATGAACGCCCTAAAACATCGTTGTCTTTGAAGGATCTTTTGTGCAGAGCAGATCACAGTCCCTCCGGCCCTTCCGGATATTCTGAAGGCAACCTGGCACGAGTGGGGAACGAGACAATTTCATAGAATGGGCCCAGCAAAATGTCAACATTGTCAGCTCGATTCTCTGTCAGATTCTGTCAGTTGATGCTGCATGCTGCAATGCTGCAATGCTGCATAGTTTGTTCAATGCATTGTGTGGCCATCCTGCATCCTGCAGGACTTCACCAAGGCCGTGATCAGAGAGGACCCCTCAGCAGGTGAGGCTGATCCTGCTCGGTTCTTAGCCGTGTCAGTGCCTGTAATTCCTCTCGCATGCAGTCAATCGTAGTGGCATATGTTACCATATGTTAACAGTTAAGATTTGTTAAGATGTTAACATACTTATCCTTCGATGTGTGAAAAGCCTCGATGATGCGAAGTATCCCTGCTGCACCCCTTGGAGTTCGTTTTGACTCTGCCCAGGCTGCCGCCAGGATGAAGTTATATCAATGGTCTCGGGACTACTTCAAGACAAAGTTGGGGGAGGCCGTCAGAGAAGCAGTTGACTGAAGCAGTTGAGGTATACCGCTCCACCTTCAGTTGTCGAGTAAAAACTGGAATCAAGAGGGAGAGTTCGAAAGTGACAGGCACAGAAAAGCTAGAAGTTCGCAATGGTCCAAACCCGAGAACCATTTACAATGGCAAATACAGCATCATGTCATATGATGCCACTGTCCTACAGTGCCACATGCTCACTGTAGCACAGAAATTCTATGTGCATCCTGCGACCTTGCAATGCCACAAGGCAAATGTCAGTCTGAACGAGCTCAATCTCATGAGACAGTAGCAGTATCACCTGGATTGCAAGTTGAACTGGTCACCCCGTTGCACCCAAAAAGCCAAGAGTTTCGGCGTGCTGTCAAGCTTTCATGAATAGTTGCACATTAAGCGCTTGGAGTGATTGATCGCATGGGAGATTCTTGACATTCTCTGGAAAAGCAGATCCACACCTGCATGCACTGCATATGTTTTGATTTTACACCCCAATCACGGACTTTGATGCTCAGATTTAGCTCTGGGCTTGCTGTCAAATTTCGGCAGTCCCATGACTTGACTCTATGATGCTGCGGCGAAGCTGCAGACTTTTCCGCCAAACATTGGTGAATGTCTCAGGGAAGCGATTGACTTTGTGACTTTGTTAGGTCCATTCGTTGACAGATCACGTTTCTGGTTAATCGTTCTGTGAGGCATGAGCAAAGGAGGAATGCAGTGAATGCAGTAGAGTTCTGTCATGTTCGGTCCCATTCCTGGCCTGAGGTGCATAGAGCTCAATAATGGCCGCCACACTGTTCCGATCTTTTCACGATCTTGTTCATGAGATTGAGCAGGAGCGGGCGGGGACATTGCTTAGATCTTTAGATATGTTTAGATGCGACTGACAATTTCATCAGAACAACTTGAACCTTTTATACCTTTTCATCATCTGCGAAGGAGTATGAAGAAGAGCTTGCAAGGCTCCGACGGGAGAATCTTTGGATGCGCCACCGTCTTGGATTTGCCCAGGACCCTTCCACAGAGTTGCGAGTGATTCGGAGTGGTGCAGTACAGTGTTTGGCGAACCTGTGATCTTCACGAGATCTTCACTGGATCTTCACGGATCTTGAGAATTTGAACAAGAAGTCTCTGTGACTCTGTGAGTGCAAGCTTGCGCAGGATGAGCAATTGAATCAGGAGAAGGCAACCACTGGACACATCGCCTCATTCTTGAAGACCCACATTTTTGGTCAACTTGTTGTATGGAGAAACAGTCTCTCATTTGTAGTATGCATTTCCGAAACTTTCATGGCGTGTCAGGTTCTGGGCAAGCTCAGCATTAGTGGAACAAGAGAGGCAGAGCAACCATGTTGAGAGCATCTTATGATACATGAGGTGAAGTCACTTGAACATTGAAAACCCTTTACTTGCAGGCACTTCCAGATCCAAAGATAGACGAAGGCCAACAAGGTCAGTGCTGAGCAGCTATTCAATCAATTTCGATCATGCTTAGTGCCATGAGATGCCTTGAGTTCGGGAGAATCTCGGGGCTACATTTCCAGGCATGCTTGCTACGCCAACTCTATCCGCTGGTACTCCTACAGGATCTGTGTGCACAGCCCAGCAGTCTAGGTGCAAGATCTCAACATCTGCAAGTGTTCAACGGATTTCAACGGATCTTCATGTTCAGTGTGGATCCCACTGCAGGGAAGCTGGTCTTGCTCCCATCGTCATCAATGGAGGGATTGTGGAGGCTCCTTTTCTGACTATTAGGGTCGGGAAAAGCCGGAAAAGGCGGACAGACCAATCCAGATTGCCTCTGGAACCAGTACTCTGACATTCCTTCACCCACACTGAAACAAGGGACAGGGAAGCAAAGTACACGCACCATTTTCAAGATTGGGATGGGCACGGGCAAAGATAGCCTCATGCATTTGGCTGGTCTGATAGCAGGCGGACAGGGCCATAAAGGGAGGTCTCTCCTTTGTGGGTCTGTTCGAAGCCTTGCAAGCTTGGAGTGTTGGCAGGCGAAAGAATACACTTTTCAGACAAAGTCCTTGTGGCAGAAGAGTGCGGTGAAGTTGTCAGCTTGGGAAGGCAGGAGGGACAGACAGAAAACACAAGCAATGTGACCCACAGAAGTCTGACACGCTCTGTCATGCAGATTTCGACCAGATTATTTAGTACATGTATGTATAGGCAGTATAGGCTGTATCGATGCTTCCTGTACGCATTTCTTTTTTTTGAAGACTTCATGACCCTTGCAGCAAATCCTTCTCCAGGTAATTTGACAGCAGAGTTCACCCAAGACCTCGACAAAGTTGCCCTGCCTGCCATGTCTGTGGTCCAGTCCTCAGATCGGGAGCCTCTGTCCATGGACCCGGAGGTCTCTGGAGGGTTTTTCACAAGATTGGTTCCAAATACAAGCTGTACCGGTCGTAAGGAAAGGAGGAAAAGGTTCGAATGGAACACACCTAAATCACAACAGGTTTCGTTTGGAAGGCTTCATCACTATTCCAGAAGGTTTTGCGTTCTCACTTGCAGTGAGATTGATTCAAAAGGAAACTTTGAAGCCTGCAACTGTTGCGCTTTGCATGTGTCTTGATCCTCATTGTTCCTGCCAGTGAGCTTCAGAAGTTCCTACACAATGGAACTATGAAACCATTAAACATTGAATCCGGCTTTCAATTTGGCTTTGAGGAACTTGGGACAAATAATAAGCGTGGAAATGGACGATGGAAGCGGAAGCTCCAGACGCTCCTGCATGGTTTGCTTCAGCCCCACGCACTTTAGCGTACTGATTATGTTTCAATTTCTCAAAGATTCGAATTGTATAAACGGCCACAGAAGCTTTTGATGGACAAATCTGATGGCAGGCTTCCGATGAGTCCGAATGCTCCTGTCCGACTTTCCTGGGATGTAGCCAGCATGGTCCTCATTAGCGGAGATCTCAGAATCGAACTCCAGGCAGATGCACAAGCTGTCACAAGCATTTTAACCCAGTGGACCACAAGAATCGATCGCTGAATCGCAAGGGTAACTAGCACTCATTCAACATATATGATCATATATGTAAAGAACTGAAGTCCGCTTGAGTGATTCAAACTCAGCTCAACCTCTCAAGGTTATGATGTTTGGTGGATACCTCTTCAATGCTTCAATCCCGATGAGGATTTTGTGGGCCTGGCCTCACTTAAATGTTTCTTTTCAGTTTTGGAGCTCGTAGACTGTGATCCATTCTGCCAGTTCACCACCATGATGGGCTGGATCTCGCTGGTCTTTTGGACATTGGACATGGCAGCAACCCTGATGGTTGTTGCCTTAGTTGTTTCTAGAAGTTTCTTGTGTGGTGTGAAACTGAAATCTAATGACATTTACTTCAAAATGATTCAAAATCGATAGATTGGGAATGACGTACATGGTTGTCGCAATGGTGAAGCCTTCGTTTGTCAAGGTGGGTTACTTTGACAACGGTGAGCTGATTCTGGATCCCAAAAAGATTGGGTGTAGGCTGCTTTCCTGCAGGATGTTTATTTGTTCTCATCAAGCCTTGATGCATTAGAGATTCCAAGATTGATTTTGGACATTTTGGTTCCAAGATTTGTTTTGCCACTTGCCCCTCTGCGGTTCTCAGGTATTTGCGGACATGGTTTCTTCCTGACCTGATTGTGGTACTACCTGACTGGTTTACCCGCGTTGTAGACACTGAAGGTGGAGATGGACTAGCCACAGCAAGCTGGCTGCATACAAAAACGCACATGAAAACAGTCAACATTTTCCCCATTCGCCCCTTCGCTTCTAACATTGATTGTATGTCGGAATATGTCGCCCGGGCCCAATCGAGGCTGCGAGGATGATCAAAGGTTTCCGAGCCATTCGGATTCTTCGACTGCTGCGGCTGTTGAAACTTCAACGTTGCTCAGCAAGATGTCTGGCTATTTTCATCCATTTTCCGTCCAAGGCTCCTCAGGGGGCTTAGGGATGCTTAGGGTCTCAGAAAGTATTTTGGCTGACTTCGAACCCAATCATTCCAAAGACAGGCATGATCTCAGGCGAAATTGAAGGTCAGCCATCCTAATTAATCTGTATCAGTAGCATGCTTTCGCAACTTGAATCCGAGCGGGCTGTATGCGGCTGTAACTTGAGGGAACTCAAAGCAACAAATCTAGACTTCCCAGTGCTGTTTGTTTGAAGAAAGGAACATGCGTTAGCTTGAGGGCACTTGGACGAATCAAAGAAGAACAGCATGAGTGGAGGCTGAACTGGAACTATTTTGACCAAAGTGCAAACAATTCAACATGGGTCTTCTTCAAACTGAGGCTTGATGAACATGGTCTACGACCTGATTGACAGTGAGTACATGTTCATTGCAGCCCGGCTGCGGGTGCATTTATCACGGCAGGAATTCCAAAGCACAACCAGACGCGCAGTTTCCTCTAGTGTCCTACTGTGCACCTGAGAGTTTTCAGGTGTTTACCATGATCCGCTTAATTGTCGCAATCACTGCTGCAGCCTCAACAAAAGCCAATCAGACACCGTTCTGTGCATTTGTGTTTTCTATAAAACTGCAGGCATGCTGCGGCATGCAGCCATGCAACATGCACTCGAGCAAAAGCTGCTCTGAGGTTCTGAATCATGTGATAGCGTGTATTTGGTACCTCGTTGGCTACCTGAGTATGGAAGCAGGTGGAGACCTGAGACTTTGACTTTACCCTGACTCAAGAGCTTGTCCCGCCAAATGATTGCTCCAGGCATGCCAAACTGGCTAGAGGATACAGGCCCGCACGCGAGATTTCTTGAATTCAAGTTGAAATTGATTCTGCGAAATCTCGCAGGATTGCAACCAGTCAAAGAAGCAGAGTTTGCATGGCGGCATTGAACTTAGAGTTGATTTTGACGGAGGAACAGAGTTCACTGAGTTCCCTTTTGGTTTGCGGAACGCAAGGAGACAAACGGTGACAAAGCTTTGCTGCGCAGAGGTAGCATTTGTATGCCATTGTGCACTGTGTGCGAGGTATTTGACGTCTCTCCACTGGAGCCTGACTCAATTCACGCCTGCTTCAATGGACGTCAGCGCCCGGAACGAGTGGGAAAGAGTGATGTCAATTCTTGTTCGCAACTCAGTAAACTCAGTGCGCTTGGATGGCTCGGGGTTTTGAGCGCGTGCAAAGGCTTGCCCAGGTAGAGAAGTTCTTGCATTCGTTTTGACCCATGTCACTTTCAGTTTTGCCATGTTTTGCCAAGGTTCTGTTTTTTTCCTTGGTTGCCTTCTCCTCGATTGTAGGAGCCCTGCACGACATGTAGTTTTTCACTGACCGGAACATACAGCATGCAGCAGCTGTATATATAGACGAGATTTACTTGTGACAGCTTTCCCACTCGCAATTCTCTGCAGGAAGTGTAACGAACTCCATGACTGCTCTGCGCAACATGAGCGGGGACAACAAAAAGCGACCTTGCTGAATTCAGAGTTGTGGAGAAGCAAAAGCTTTGTGGGATTAGCAAGACTCAGAAGAGGCTGTCTTTCTTGGTTTGCCTGACTGAGGCAGTTTTGGCTCCTGCGGCGCTTTTTGAATCACAAGAAAATAGGCGGGCCTCATGAACCGGAGCAGGGAAACCTCGAAGCAAAGGAGTGAATATGTTTTACCGTTGGTCTCAGGTAAGACGACATCTGCACGAATTATCCGATTCCTGGAGCACCAGACTGCGAACCAGCAGGGTGATGTGAATCCAAGCCAGTGACCTCAGTGGGACTTGAAGATTTAAGTACATTTTGTGTACAGAACAGAGGATGCTGCCTGCTGACCGCAGCTTTGACTCTGCTATCAGCTCAAGGTTCCATCACAATTTTGACACTGCTCTCAGCCCGGCACTGAGTCGTACGAAGCTACCATCTTTGCTGCCAAGCCAATTGTAAGATCTTGGTGAACTTCCAGCTGTGCTTATGAACTGTGCTTGTGCTGGGTAGGAACCTTTGAAGAATTTGTTGGCGTACGAGCTCAGCAAGAAGCACGTAGAACTCCACCCGTTCTTCGCTCATCTGGAGCACCTTTGGCGAACGATGTGGTGCCACATGCTTCATCATGCTTCGCTTATGCCTGGCTACCTTGGAATGACTGTTCGTACGCAGGCAAGAGATGAGCCCAATTCTTGTGAAGCTTTGCGATACAGTTCTTCAAGCGATTGATTTGGCAAGTCGTTTGCTCAGTTCGTACACCTTGCACTCCTTGACCTGTTTCTGAGCAAATTTCACGATTGTTGGGATTGACTCTGAGTTTTTTTTCTTTGAGCTGTATTCTTGGCACAAGGTGAAGATGTTGTTTTTCATCCTGGTGAAGAAGGGGAGAAAATGTACTTCGTCAAGAGTGGAAGTTTCGAGTGCGCCGTGTGGCCAGCTTCCGGTTGTAATTTGTGTTTTGTCTTGGTCATGAAACGTGCAGAGTGCCAGGAGAGCCAATTTCGTTCCGGTTTTGCAAACTGGGAATGCATAATCACTCATTCCAGACTGATAGCGGCATTCAACATGCTCTCTAGTCTTAGACCAACCTTGCCCATCCGCCTGCCGATCTGTGGCTCAGACCTCTAAAGTCATGTGTATGGTACTCCCTGCCAGAATGATTTGCAAGAACACATATTATCCTGCCAAAAATTTAGATTGGTACCTGGAATCCAGAACCGTGATGACATCATGACCTTGTCAACGTAGACAAATGTAGACTACAGATTTAGACGCAATGCTCTCTGAGATGCCGATGGTGCCCTTTCCAAAGAGTGAAGGAAAGAGGGATGACTTGGTGCTGCTCGATGGAGAGTCGCTCCTTGCGAAGCCAGAGAACGCCTGTTCTGCAGGTGCTCCCATGGACCTTGCCGACTGTTTTGCCGCACAGGATTTTGGTGCATGTAGCTCAGTGCTTTTGCAGGAGCTCAAGGGTGGTGAAGAGACCGACTTGCTGCCACTGCTGGTTGGAATGCTAGGCCATATTGGAGGAATTGAATTTGCTGATCAAACAGACCAAAGACAAAGGCGACGCGGAGCATTTACCAAATCTGTGCAGGTTAGTGGGCAGAATGTCAAGGTTCCGGAATCAGAAGCATTTCGAAGACTGCGCAGGGCTGCTTTTCCTTCGGATGCCAAGACATTGGTTTCTCACGAGCTTGGAGATGGGCTTGACTCTGATGAGATTTCAGG